ATAAGTGCACTACAGGCCATCGTTTATCGTCATCCTGTCTGCTTCCCATTTCTAAGGTTTAGTTTTGACATCAGACTCTATTCTGATACTAATACAAGTATTTATACTAATGATAGTTGTGCTAATGCTGGTAGTGATAACAAATTTTATTCGTCATATGTGTTCATAACTTCAATAGAAGAAAAAAAAAGTTTGAAGAATAAAAGAAGCATTGAAAATGATTTTGCAGCAATAACTAATACTTCATCTTTTTAAGCATCACCTGTAGTAGTTTGCATTTGCTTTTTTATCAATTGTTTTTCACCAATGTGTTAAGAGTAAAAAATACATATTGAACACAAACCAAACACCAATACTCTGTCCATCAGATACTTTCTTCTTTAAGCACGACAAAATTAAAAAAAAATTAAAAAATTTTCCTAATGAACGTATACAGTATTGATATTAACATTTCTGTTATGTTGTCAACAAACATCACGTCATTCTTCGTTTTGTATGAGTAAATTTAAAATTTTTATACATCTGTTTGATAGAACAAAAGAACATCGATGACAGATGCTGTCTTTTGTCTAATCAGTTCTTGTTTCATTCCTTTTCTTTGCATCTATTTATATCTTATTATACGATTACCACTGTCTGATACTACAAATTATTTTTTTGCATATGCAAAAAAGTAATATTGTATTACATTTTAATTATTTAACCAATTTTTGCACTTATAATCTGTAATCATATATTCCTTCAACTTCCAGTTACATTCTTCTACAATTTTTTACTTGTTTTCTTAGTTGCACTAATCATTACCTACGAATATGGTGAACTTGGAAAAACATGATTTAGGTAACATAATTTTTTTGAAACTACGTATAAGTTTCTCTTGTCTAAGTTTCTCCACTACTTGACTAGGGCCATCTTTGTTGCATCATTTTTCTCTTTATACTCATTTCTGTAGATTGATAAGGTAAATATGAACTACTCAACTTACTATTTGTTCAACGTCCCTTCAGTTGCACCTTAATGATGCCAAAAGAAAGTGACAACATACTATAACCTTTGCCTACTGTGCGAGAATGCAGAAAAACAAAATCAGTTTTCTTAACAGATCCTACCGAGTTTTACTTAAGCATTGTAAATACCTCAATATAACCTCAGAATGCATAGCAAGTAGATCTAAAATTTAGTGTATTGACAGACAAAACAGTTTTCGTAAACAACGCTAGATTTTTTTTTTTTATCTATTTCTGGCCATAGTAATTTTTGTAAAAAAATAAGAGAAACAAATTGTGTTTAAAGTTAGTTGTAGCCAAAGCTAACGAGCGTAGTTTGACGATGGAATGACGTATATCAAGCAAATGCGATAATTGTTTAATATGCAAAAGTCTTCAATATATCACAAATTTTCATCTCAATGCCTCTTTTTTTTTTCAGTTCTTTAAGCTATGCATTCACTTAAGAAGTATTTCCAATTAGCAATGAGACAGAAAGATGCTAAACTGATGCACTCCCACCAAGAATATAAAAAACTAAAAATACGAAAGCATTTTCCTCATAGAGCATATTACGAAAAAACGTACATTAACATTAAAGAAAAAGGAAAGCCATCAGCAACAATAAAACACTCTTCACAATGTTCCTAATGGAAACTGTGTGTAATTACCAATCCTTTATTTATTTATTTATTTTTTTGACAGATACGTAAGGTTTTAACCAAATCACTGATTAGTATTTATCTTGGCTGTTAAATTACTAAAAGCAAATAAACATGATAAATATCAGGTAAACTTAAAGATAAAAAATTTAGCTACTCAAAATTGGAAGTAATTAATGTTAATAAAATACTAGGAAACGTAACCATCAGTTACCGGACGACGACAAATTGGTGTAAACATCAGATCTCCTGTTTGGCAAACAGAACCAAATAAATAGCAGAAAAAAAAATGTGCATATCTGCTGTTTTTTTGTTCCCACGCGTTGTCATTAGCAGTGCCATCTCAACGTCATTATTATTCAAACAATCATTTTCTGTTTGCGCCTTCAACCACCCTCACCTTTTCAAGAATCTTGAGGACTTCTAAAAATTTTTCAAAACTGAAATTCTTGCAAAAATTATTGGTATATTAGATTATAAGAACGAGAACAAATTGTTCGCAAAAACCAAATGTGTCTAAAAGTCTATAATGTTTGCTAAGAATCTGAAGAAAGAAATAATTATTAGAAACAACACAATGAACAGTACAATAGTCAGAGGTCTAACATTATTAGCAACAGCTTTTACAACAAACAGACAAATGATAAAGCATTACAATTTAAACTGTCCAAAAAGATGCTCAACACTACACAAACAATTTATTATTATTAACGAAACTTAAAAAATGTGCCCAGCAACTATGCAATCGGATGGAACTGTACACATTTGAGGTTAAAAAAAAAAAAAGAAAAAGAAGAGAAAACAAATGGAATTTTCAGTACCCACAAGAAATGAAAAAAACCATTTTTTTAGGGATTAATCCTCAACAAATACATAAAACCTATCAATATTCAAATCTACCATTCATGCAATAAATTCTAACGAAAGAATCTGCATATCTTTCATCACATAGTGCCGGTGATATTACCATATAAAATATGTTAATTTTTGTAAACCAACAATTTCTTCCGTTCACAAAACAAAATTAAAAAAAAAAAGTTTCCACCTTTCCAAAGATTTTGCTGCATAATGCAATTTAGGATTCTTTAATTAAGACTTAGTCAACACGCAAATAACAAGCTTTTCCATTTCTTCAACAGTCAAAAAAGCATTTTACAAAATTTACTCAGAAAAAGCCACAGCGATTATACTATGCCTGGTATATCCATCAAGACAAGTTTTTGAAGTTATTTGAAGAAAACTAGACGAATAATAGATGCCGTAGCCGGCAACCTTATTTAAACTCTTACATTGGCAACTCAGTAGCAGAGAAGAGATCAGTTTGGGAAGAACCGGTTTTCAACACAAGAACGTAAAAAATCTAAACAAGTCTTAACATATTCCGTTTCATGCAACCGAAAGTGCTCGCAATGTGGTGAGTCAGGAAAAACAAGCGTCTTGATATCAACATTTTCAACCTTCTGTTTGGCTATATAGTATTCAATACTGCTTGACAAACATACTGAATCGGCTAAACTGTAAATGACCATTTGTTTTTTGGGCAAGTCAGTTATTTGGCACAAATGATAATAACCAAAACGTCTAGACCACGCATCAGATCTCCTTAATGATTCCAACCATACCAAAGTCATAAAAATTAGATAGAGGAAAATTCTTGCAATTCGGTACGACCAGAAGAGTAAAAGCCCGTATTTTGTTGGCGGGCAGAAAGCCAGCGCTGCAGCTGTAGACATACGATAAACATCAGTAAACGCCGGAGCACTAAAAATTTTTAAAATGAATTGTTCTGAGCAGCTAAGCCTCAGTTTAACTCAATTACCAAAACGATAACGAAAATTAAATTCAATGAATAAGATGTAAAAACCGTTGGTATAGTTTCATTGTCTGGTTTAATGAGTTTCGTCATTAACCTTAAAAACTGCAAGCAAACCTGTCATAAATTATGCCAACAACCTTCTCCTTTATTAAATTACCACACTCAACTTCTTCAAACAATTTCCAAAGCGCACCGACCATGGAAGCTCCATTCATGCTAAATACATGCATTAAAATAGACGAGAAATTGTTGTTCCGCAGGATTCTTTCATAGACGGCGAGAGCATGCTTATTATATGTCTGGTAGGAAGTGACTGTACGAAAGTCAACCGTGTATCCAAAAACAGAATATCTGTAAAAGATTCTTTTGCAGACTGTTGAACAATGATCACTTTACGCTCCTATGATGGCCTATATCCCGCTGAATAAATCAAACAGTGACCAAACCTAGCAAGCAAATTTTAAAATAACTTATTGTAAACTAAAGTGAGTCATATTCCTAGAAAAAATATTCGGCAAACGTAACGATTAAAAAGAACCCACCCTGCTTTCTGGTATATTGCCAAGTATTTCGCCAAATAACGGTCTTTGCAGCCAGCCCATCCAAAAAGCATTACCAGAGGAGCACTGGGATCTTCACTAACTTTTAGGATGAAGTTATCTAAATCCATCATGGGCAGCCTAAATCATAAAGCAAAAGTTCATTCTTCTTAACTTGAATGTTATCGCAGACCAAAAGTCTTTTTTCTGCGGTAGACAAGTTCATGTCCTTCAGGAGATGCAAAATAAGGTCTGAACGATTAATCCAAAAGTCAATGATTTCTGAACGAAAAAATGAAAAGCTCAGACAACGAAGGAGAGAAAGGGTGAAAACAGTAGAGAAGAAAACAGAGCCAAGAAGCAAGTTTGCGGTTAAATTTTGCAAAACAGTAACAAAATGATGAGCACTATTCTACTTTGTTCCAGAATCACCAAAACCAATCTATCTGACCGTTCCAGTCCATAATTTACCATCTTTCCAGTACACATAAATGAAAATTTGAGTAACAAACTCCATACGCAGAAAATTAAAAGTACTGGAAAAAGATGTAAATTTTACTGCAGGAACAATAAATTAAAACTTTACTATTTGGTGTAGCAAAAAAAAACTAACTTACCCTTTGCGAAACAACCAACAGGACTAAAGAGCGCAAACTGGCACCAAGGCAAGAAGATTTGCAGTAACAAGCGCCATCACAGCGGTTAACATGAAGAGAAAGTGAGCAAATTGCCAAAGACAGTTGCATCAATGCCAATGAAGCATTATGTCAAAAATGCCTCGCAAAAAACTACTGCATCATAAGCAAATTTTTTATGATGAGGAAACTTTGTCACCATTTCCTGACAGTTGACATCCGCAACATTTGTTATCTTTTTCTTCAAAAGAAAATTTGAGTGATAAGGAGACAAATGGTTCACAACTTTAGAAAGAACAGTCATTTCAATTTTTCCCTATCGCCAACACAGTACCGTAGATGCACTTAACAACGGGAAACCGCAGATACCAGTATTTAATACCATAAACCTTATATTCTTGGAAGTCCTTGTTTTCTGGAAACCAGTATTATTAACTATATCAACAATGAACTCTTTAGTGATAATCACCATTTGGGAAGTGGTAGAGAAGAGAAAGGAACGAAAGAGCTCAAGTAGGCTTTATGAACTTTATACCAGTATTTCACCATCAACTTCAGCCATTGCTGCACCGGGTGTCTACTAATCTTGGACTACGCTAACGACGCACTAGCCTTTGAAGAGAAGATTTCTTTTTCTTATTTTGCTGTCAGAACAATGCATTTTACGCTAAAATGGCATTTCCAGCTATTTATGAAGCCACTCACAAGCTCAGGTTTCTTTCTTTTGCATTTGAGTCATACTCGGCAAAACTAAATTTCCGACTATTGATTTATCACACTGCTTCCCAGATTGAAACTATGATTTTTCCGACCAAATATGCAGTAATCCGCAGTAACAAGTTCGCAGTAAGTATGAAAATATTCTTTTACTTTGAGGCCTTTGACCGAAGGCTGGAAATTGTACAATACAAGCAGTTGCAACCCACTTATCGCAGTCTACCCTACTAACTACATTTTACTGGCCTGCTTCAATCACATAATGTAAGAGACAGTTTAATCTCAGTTGTGATTTTACCAAGTAGAATTCCTAGCCGTATTTCACGAGACAGTTTTATCTCTTTGCCTCATCCTGTATTCCAGGATCTCCTGTAGATAAATGCAGTAGGCTTTGTTGCGCTCTCTTTGGAAGAACAAGTAAATTATGACATAACTGATAAAATTCATTTGCACGAAAGTAGGGTTTTTAGATGAAATAAAAGTTTTTGCTGTGTAGAAGTTTTGCTGGTTTGGGAAAGTTTTAACAGACGTCAAAATTTAAAACTTTAT